ACTTTGGAAATAATTACGTCTGCTTATGGCTATTTGTATTATTATATTATTTTCATGTTATAATAAATATATGTGTCATGAATGGATGATTAATAAAATCCGATGATAACATTACTATATAAGAGAATAATATTTTATCAACTCACATACTCGTATGTCTTGTACTTTTTTATGACTAGCATGCTTGGTATGTAAATATAGTAGGCCAGCCATTTTGTTTCATTGTGATATATATCAAGCAAAAGATGTATCGGATCAGTCGTATTTATTCGCCCAAAGAAATCGACTTTTTAAGTACATTTAGTTTCAAGAAACCATGTCATCAGAAGCAAACATAATTATCATAATATTTTAGATTTACATCCGAGCAATAAAAATAACTGTTATCAGAAATATTGTCTTAGCAATAAAAATATAATATAACAGCTATTGTATTTTTGTCAACTCTCAGCTCATTAATTTCATGATATGGCACACCAGAAATACATTTGAGATAAATAAGTAACAGGTAAACATAATACATCTTAATTGTCATGCTCTTAATGTATAAGTAAGATGTCAATAAAATGTTGTTATTTCAATTCTAATTAATTTTCTTCCTTTCTTGTGCTAATATGTATGAATTATATTTATCTATTTATTCATTAATTTATTTATTAAAATGGTCTTTATGAAATGAATCCAACCTGTTATTTCATTTGCATTAAAGAGTCAATGGCAGTAGAAACACAAAGGGACCTCTGAATGTCAACTCTGGTAAATATATATCTATTGTGTTACTGATATTTTTTATTCATGAATGTCATTTTCTTCATTTAGTTTTACACGGACCAGTTCTGAATTAAATGAATCCCTGCTAAGATAATATTTTGTTCAACAACCGAGTTTTAACTTGCATAGGTTCAAAGTATTCTTTACAAATGGTTAGTTATTTTGATATTTTCAAATTATTTATGAAGTTGTTGAATACAGACACTAAGTAATATGTACTCTGTCATTACTGCTTTTTTACCTACGCAGAATGCTCATGGGCGAAATGCTGCTTTCGTTTCTGTGGAAATATCGTATTTTATTTAAAGCCGCCCGGCTCGTGAAAATATGTGGCATTTTATCATGTTTCGTGAAAATATATTCCATATTTCACTCAAACCGAAAAATATCCTTCTAGTAAAAATGTCTGCAGATAAATAGTTACAGAATTATAATTTTTTAAGACATCGAACTTGAATGTGGAAATTCAGCAAACGTTGGCAATGTTAGCAATCATAGAATTGTTCAAGGTATTTTTTTCATTTTTCATTTTTTCTCTCATGATAGAAATTCATGTATCTTTTCCATGACTGATTGTTATGTAATCAATTTTAACTTTCAAATATCTGCTATCTAACGGATGTATTATTTTAAAGTTAAAATGATTTTTTTTTTAAAGTTTTTAAATCATACAGGAAAGACAAATTACAGCCACTGTAAATTTAGTGTTGTTTAAAAGTTGGTAGCGGAACCTGTATATTACCATCATAACTTTTGTCTGTTATGTTGTTATTAACCCTGTTAAGTTGCATTGGTGCATTACAAGAATAACATTATATCGAAATGTTTATTTTTCAGCAACAAACAACGACATTGTGTTAAACTCACACGACTATGAGGATCTTGGAAGAGTTCAAGGTATGTGTGCAATAATTGTTTGTAACATCGTAACGTAAATACCTAAGTTGTTTAGTATAAGTATATAGAATTATCAAATGTAAACTTAACATAGATATTTTTCATTTCATTTTAATTGGTTACATAAAAATGATTTTCGACATATTTTCATTGTTTTCCGTTTTTGTCTTTTACAGTATCCGAGCATGAATATGGACTAATTCGACCAGACACTGGGTTTCATTGATGAAATATAGCAGTTAGCATAAGCAAAGACACATGCACAACAACAACAAACATTATTAGCTGCATTAAAAGTGTCACACCAATAGAGTAACAATTGGAATTATAAAAAATGGACTATATTATATAAAACATGAAATCAATGTGAATGGTGTATTCTGTTCCATTCTTTATTGTATAGTGCTGAATATATGTCTGGTATTTTGATGTGTTTAAAACGGACTTCAGCTTTCATTTCGTGTTGGACAAACAATTCTGTGTTGTTTGAAACTAAGTATTTCAGTCATATTACCCAGGAAAAGTGCATCATATTACTGTTAAGACTTCTTCAAAACAGGACCCGAGAGCTATTTATAGCGCCTATTGAAGTTCTTTTCTAGAAATAGAGGATTTCCGTTTAAATACTTATTAAGATATATAGAGCGGACCGTTAGATTAGAGGTTTCGGGATGTTTCCTTAATGTTAATAACCACAAAATTCATTTTACGCCTTAATTCTTTTGATTTGACAATTATCTGAAACGATTTATCTACAAATAACGCATTTTTATATAACGATTTGAGACCAACCTATTATTACAGACGACCAAAAATGCAAAACTGTGTTGATTTAATTATTACAGAATGTAAACGTTCCTTACGAAATAGAAAAAAGCATTTACATTAAGAACAAACGAACTTTACACAAGCAATTATACTTAGACTATCTTTCAATATATAATGATGTGAATTTTGTTGAGCATGACTTATATATGCTTTACTTGTTTATCATGTAGCTTTGTTAATGTAAATATGTACAATTATAGTAAATCCATATGTCAGTCAACTTGCTACTTTCGTTTTTCAGGAACTTGTATATTACTACTTATATATGAAATGAAATCCATTGGTCACCAACTCGTCACTTTCGATTTCGAGGAAGTTGTGACTGGATGTGGACTCATGTTTCTTACTACCACTTATTTTTTCCTGTACTACATGTATGTTGTATATGAACGTACAAATATATTGAAATCAATGTTAAAACTGAATGTTAAAGTGTTTCTGTTTATTACGTTCTATAAAATGTTCTTTAATTTTCGCATATTAATGTAATCAAAAATTGTTTGCATAATTATGGTTATTAAATGTTAAATTGCTATAGCCTTATATAGTATCATTAGTTTGTATATGTCGGCCACATGGGTCTATGACCTTCTGGTGTTTTGAAAATAAAATATTGAGTTTTCTTTCATTAAAATATGTCATGTATGAACTGTTAATGTATATTTCATCTAAGTTCATCTAAAGTAAAATAAATAAAAGAGTATTAATGTCAAACAATACCCATACCATTGACTCGTATAATTGCAGAATATCTAAAGTAAAATCTTTTTATGCTTTCTAGTAAGTTTAGCTTAATATCAATGTATTTATTATAAAACCAGTTTTCCTTATTGTTTGCATTACACAGTTTAATGTATGTGTGATTTTGTTTTATAAAAATGAATGTGTTAAATTTTATTACTTCCCTATCCTTGCAAATACATTTAAAGTGTGTTTCATAATTGTGATAAGAGTCCAAATGGAGAGATAGTTGGGAGTTGCCAAGTGTTTGCTAAAGTGGTCATGAATATTTAAGTGATCTTCTTAATATTTTCCATTGAGTCATATTTCTAAGTATTGTACATAAAAACAATCATTTTAGCAATGTATCATAATCAAACACAAGAGACTATTTATTTATTATCTATTATTATGTGAAATAAGGACAAAAATGTATTACCTGAATCATAACAAAATAAAAGAGAAACTATGTCAGAAAAAAACATACACACATAAGGTCCCACGTGCCACGTCTCATAGCACTGGTGATATTTTGAATTAACAAAGATCCGCTGATGTGGTCATATTGCGATTTGTAACAGAAAAATGCGAATGAACTGAATTAAAGTAAAGCATTTGTTTTAAACGTTTCAATCTCTGGAGAATCTGATAAAAAATAATTCCAAACAATAATCAGTCTAAGGACGATAAACACTGGTATACTTATCGTATTCAGGGGACAAACCTAAATCATATTGTTATTTCCCAAGGCGAGATGATTACAAATTATGCATTTGTTTGACTATTTTATACAAAAGTAATTCTAGCAACATATTATTAACATAACAAGAAGATGCAAATACGTACAATACGATTAAAATCAGCTGCTTATTTAGCGCTACGCATTAGGATCAATCTGACTGATTTAAACAGAATGAAGGTGAAACTGATACGATGGCAATGAGATCTACATGCAAGAAATATCATCCTCCTAAAAGATACTTTTACGAGAGGCTAACGCCAAGGTAACAGTATTTTCCACGGGGTGGTATTTTTCCTGTTACTAACAGACAATCTATGAGTTTAGTATTACTTTTTTCGAGACATGACATAGTAAACTGCTATTCAGGAAACAATTATCGTCAATTAATTCAGCTTTCTTAATGGATTGAAAAACAGAAAAAACAAGTTTTCGCAGTGTGAAATATAACAAATTATATTTTACGATTTTTTTAAACATATTTATTCGCATCGATGTTAATTTTGATTAATGAAAGTATAGTCGTTTAGTGAAGCGAAGTATACGCATAAGAATTTGTGTAGTTCCAATGAGTTTTGGTGTTAAATAGATTCATTAAATTTAATTTGATATGCGAAACTGCATGCCGCAAGCAAGCATTCTCAACCTTCATCAGACATTTCCAATCTCCGACCTCTCCAATATTGAAATACTATTAGAAGCACCGACACAGCAAAACGTTATTGACGCAGCTTTTCTAGTAGACGAATATCTAAACTGTTCCTAGCTTTCGTTATTTATTGCAAGCATTTATATTTATCACATTAACCGCGGTGCAGGAGTGTAATAAAGCCATTGAACGAGTTGAATAAAATCATATTATGCGAGCCTCTGGCGAGCATAATATTGTTTTATTTAACGAGTTCAATAAATTTAGTATTGAATCTTCACGAATATAATATTCTATTTATCACATAATTATATAAAATATGAACAGTTTAATAAACTGTTAAAATGAGTAATGTTTCAATGACGCGTTTATAGTGTAACGCTAACATTAGCGCCAAGTGTAATATGGTTTTTATTAATTGGTTTATACTTCACAACAGTAGGTGTCAAGTGCCGTGTGGCAGCTGTAAAAACTTGTCCCGTACTTCACTTCAATGTTGTTGTATTTTTCTGGTCCTTCGGGATCATTGATGCCAGCACTATTAAGTGTTGAGACTTGAGTACCGCTCAAGCCGGTGCTAAGGGGCGTTAGGGATGTTGCACTTATCAATTATCCCTTATGTACAGACTCAATGAAACCGAGTCTGCAATTCTTATTTGATTTTGTTGTGATTAATGCTTCCGAGGGATCACTTTGTTTCCAGATTTTTATTACACTCCTGTGCCGCGGTTTATATGATAATAAATTAAATAATAAACCGTTTAATCATCAATTATAAGGATATAGGTTCATGTTTATTGAATAGAGGATTTATTTGATTATTGATCAAGATTCGTAACACTGGAATCGCTTCGTTCGTCTCAAAGTCACATTCCTAAGACATCACTGATATATCGATAACATGTTTTTTAAAGCAATCTGTCATATCAATACGCGCTATTGTGTTTTGCTTTATTTACTTCCGTATCAAAGGTTTATAACCTTGCTACTGTACAATAACAAATGTAGAAATAAAGTATTGCTCGTGTTTGATGATTGAGAATATATAAAGGAAACAATGAGGAACATAGATTTGGTAAGTAAGATATAATTTGTAATAGTTATTAGAAAATATATTTGTCTTAAAATCACAATGGTAAGAGCTTATAAGATAGTTTGAAAGATAACTTATCAAAGATCAAATTAAAGCACTGGGGTCGAAATTTGCACTGAGCGTCAGTCGGAACTTTTCCTAATATCAAGTTTAAACGTAAACCATATCCTTAATATTCAGATTAAAGATACTTTCCCACACATTGCATTTTTTTAAAAATAAAATGTTATCAATAGATAAAAAAGAATTACCACAGGTTAGTGCATTTTTATATAATAACAAGATAATAAATACAGGTATTGTTTAGCACACAAACATATTAGTGACGTATTTACATTTGTACCCTCCTGAAATTGTAAATATTTGAAATGTTTTATATTGTAAATATTGACTAAAATATAAACGCACCCGTTAACTGGTTGCAAGTAGATCAGATAGTTGCGGTTAGTACATTTGCATTTTTATCCTCTAATCGATTGCTGTAGAAAATATATCACAGAAATTTTATCTTTAAAAGAGACATAAAAAGAAGAAATTATCATGGTAATCCGGTTGAAATCATTATAGTAAATTCTACCAGCATCAAGCTGTCCTACTCGCTAGATGTTCACGGTCAGTTTTTAGCTAAAAACCGGAAAAGAAACTCAACAACCGGTAACCGAGAAAATGCCGATTTTTCTATATTCTAAACATTACCTTAATTCCTAATAACAAGTTATGGCATTATATTTGTACGATTCTCCGACTGCATGCTATCTGATCGTTTACGTACTGTCCTAACTTGTAAATGATATATTTGTTGATTACAACAAAGTACGAACAAATTGTCATAGCTTGTCATGAAGAAACATAGTTGATGTTCAATATCTAAAACTTTTATTTCTACGTTCGGTTAATATAAGTCGCCTGTTAAACGTCTGTCATGTTTCTATTCATATTTAGAATAATTGTTAACAAATATGCTGATGCTTTTAGATCTGTTCTATGTGGGAAAGAAGCTGTAGAAATATTAAACTTGACGCGTAGACATATTCTTGTTGCGTAGAAAAATTATACTTGTCCCGCCTTGTCCTGTAGAAATATTATACTTGTCCTGTAGTAATATTACGCTTGTCCAGTAGAAATACTTGTGGCGTATAATTATTATACTTCGTCGCCCTAATTCCATAATGATGTAAGTCGTATTTTTACCATTTTGAGAAAATCGACTTCAAAGTTTTAACAGGCTATATCGTCACACTTACTCAACCAATTTTAATATAAAATACATCATAGTGTGCAGAATTATTTTAACTTTTACACTTTCAATTACGAAGAAGTTCCTGTAGATAGTTTTTTTAAAAATCAAAATAAAAAAAATGAAAAATCACTGAAAAATATATTTTATTGACAAAAATACAAGAACCAGAATGCTGTAATAAGTTACAGCAATGTGACCCTAAAATATCATTACATTTAGGAGTTACAACAGTGTGAAATAATGACTATTTTACTGTTTTATACTGAAATTATATTAAATTTAGACGTAACTAGAAATTTAATGCTTTAACGAATAGTCTGGATCCACATTTATTTAGGCACCACAGAGCATGTAATGCGATCAGGATCAAAACAGTAAATTCAGTCATAGAAATCCAGACAAAGCGGTGAAGTGTGAATAGCCACGAAACAGGCATTTTAAGGTTGAAATTGAACTCGGGCTTCATTATCTTATGACCATTTACATGAAATAGTGAGCCTTGCAAATGAACAAAAAAATAAAATATTACTGCTTTGTAAATGTATCACATTGAGTAAAACAAAACGAAATCAACATTTAGAAACATCGTCATTGTATTGATATTTACCACATTAAATAGCAAAACTTTTATCATATGATATGCTATTTTCACATTAACACTGTACACTTTAAAATATTTGGAATTCAGATTTACTTTTGGTTTCGTTTATTATATCATTAATTCATTCCAAATTCAATTTTGAATACCTGTTACTTGCATACAAACAGCATGTTGAACACAATTTGACTTACAAAACACACAAAAATGTTTAAGAGATGTAACTGCTTAAACTTTGAAAAACAACATCAACAATGAGTTCCTTTCTCTGTAACATGAAAAAGAATAAACCTATGTATTTTATTTTTCTAAGAACAGTATTACTTAATGTTTTGTTTAAAAAAAAAATGAAAAATATGAAACACAACTCAAAGCTCACAAATTTTCAAAGATGCTACAGATCTGGATATGGTGTTTCAATGAACTACTGTACTTCAATTACTTGTATTTATATATTAAGTGGCATACAACTTCTTTACATACAATAACAATTAAGTATACGTTTGCTTTAAATGTTTTTAACTGAACTGTTTACATCAATAACTCATTCGTATATTAAAAGCAATGCTCAATATCTAAGAGTTTCAGTCAAATATTAATTCTATTTTACTTCAACAAACGTTTAATGAAACAAATATGACAATTTAAAAATTCCTTAATGTTTTTACATGGTCTTAAGACTTTGTAACATTTTTTCACAAAATCATTTTTTTCTACGTTTCAATCGAATGACAATTTTTAACTAAGCATATTTTTGTTTCTTTTTAAAAAATATTTTGGTAATGGATAATTTTCAGTTCAAAGGTTCAAATCACTTGATAATTACAGGTAGTATTACCTTACGAGTTGGAAGTAGATGTACAAAAATTATTATTAACTTAGAAACTTAGATTAATTTTGCTTTGCATGTTCAAATTACATAAGAAATTTTAGCATAAGATTGAAAATGATTATGTTGACAAAAAGGTATAGACTGACAACCTGTTGATTTATGCTAAATAGCTGAGTAGGTCAACAGGGTGGCATTCTGTTTAATAAGTATTTGTTGTGCAAATGACGTCTCTTATTCAACGCTAAATGGTGCATCTGAGACAACTCGATCTCAGCTTTTAAACTTTTGTTATAGGGATATTGTCAACTTTTACCCACCATATAGTCTTTGACGTTTGGACGTACTGTTTTAAGAACACAAACGAGTGATGTAGGACTGAACACTTCTGCCATTTTAAAAGTGTTTTGTCTTTCTTTCTATATGACAGTGGGTATTGTTAACCACTCTGGATTGCATAATGCCTTGGACAGCAAAACTTTTGATATTTTTGTGATCGTTATATGAAAGTGCAGAATTTTGAAAATTATGAAAATTATGAAATTATGAATTATGCAATAAACATGATTAACCTAATTTAACATCAGTTATGAGTGGTAAAGTTATATGTGTAAATTTTATTCGAATCACTTAGCACCAGTACGGTAATTTGTCTTATATAGTTAAAGAAAAACATTGTACATAATGTAACAATGGCAGTAGTATGTTTCTATTTGATGAGTTTTGTTTGTAAGTTAAAAGTATAAAACAATCTTATGCAAAACCTGATTGTCCGTATTTAATGGTAACATTGATCAATCAATCAAATAATCAATCACATATCAAGTTATTAACAGCTGATACTTGTGAGTATCAATTTATCCGATTTCCATGCTATCCGAATTTCATAACACAGCATGGTGCTTTGAATTTAGTTCAAGGGTTAAGAGTAGTTATTATTTTTTTTAAGGTTTGAAACAGTTCAATAAAATATTAATATATAGATAATTAGATAACATCTAAAGCAAAACACTTACATGTTATCAAGAAATATAAAACGTAAAATGTCATTCCTGATACCTTGAAAAATCTGCCATTTTGTCAAAACAGCATCACGTGACTAGAATCTTAACAAACTATTGGTTCAGAAGTTACGATATTATGGACTGTATTTTTATCACAATTTTTGGACTTACAGCACTCTGACCCATTCAATATATTGTTACAGGCAAGAACCAGAGTGATGTTGTTCTTACCATTAGATAGAGAAAAAAATTACGAACATTTTGATACCAAACACTCATTTTTTTCAAAATTGGAGTTACGACACTCTGGAATTAGGGCGACGACTTGTCCTGTCTTGTCATGTAGAAATACTTAACTTGTCCTGTAGAAATATCATACTTGTCCTGTAGTAATATCATACTTGATTATACTTGTCCTGTAGAAATATTATACCTGTCCTGTAGAAATATTATACTTGTCGCGTAGAAATACTAGTCACTTGGAACTACATTAAAATTGTTGTTTTAAATTATAATACAAGTGTACTTGTTCTATAGAAATTCGAAGCGCTATAATGAGTGTTATATGTACTACCTTAATCTTATAGCAGACATGACAATATAATACGACACCTTTGCTATATTTTTATAAAAGTAAATTATAATGAATTTTCTTTACAGATTGCAAGTACGCTTTGTATGTTTCAACTTGTAAACAACACTACAGGAGGTAAGTGTTTCGCTTGAAATAATTTAAACTTGAGGTTTTGGTGGTGGTTGTGTTGGTAGTTTTCACTCCGGATCATGACAGTAAGCTGCATTGAATTCACCAGAACGATGTTCAGCCACCGCATCATTATTTTACATGCTGTAAAGCAGTTAACCAGTACTAGTTGCCTTCACTTTTGCAAGGAACTGATACATTCTGTACATGCCAGAGCAGAGGTACATTAGAAATGATTTCATGATCGATCACAAAGAAAGTGACCTGCACCGCCCGGCAATCGGACCCGTATTGACCGATTCACAGTTCAACGCTCTTTCTTTTAAGCTAACCGGACGTTTTAGTATTCATACATTTTGTATATAAACAAAACAAAATTAGATCTTTTAGGTAATTTAATATGCATATATTTATCTCCAGAAACATGATCTTATGAAGTAAAAATTAACTGTGAGGCAATTAAAAAAAATAAAAAAAAATAAATAAAAAAATCAATAATTCCATAGATTTTCATTTTAATATATTTTTGTTTTGGAAGTACGAAGAAAGTATGATTTTATTAATTACAGGGATTGATGAACAATGTTTAGTAGATTGTGCATGCTGTATAGATAGAGTATGTGGACCAGGGCATTATTTTTCAAACGAATGTTACATAGGCTGTATAGAAGGTCATAGAGGTGCACGCTGCTCTCAACTATGTTCACATAACTGTACAAAATGCACTAGTCGTGCAGATTCATGTACTGCGTGTTATGATGGCTATTATCCCGGCTCTGCTAGAGACTGCACATCAAAGTGTTTACCCGGATGTAAAACATGCACGTCAGAAACCACGTGTACATCATGCAAGGAGGGTTATTATAACGCTGCTGGTCAAAGTTATTGTAACTGTGCTGAACATTGTTATTGTGAAAATAATCAGTGTATTTCATGTAAGGAGGGATACTACGATACCAGTAATTTATGTAATAGTATATGTCCAGGTAACTGTGTCATGTGTTCGCCAAATACTAATTGTTAATCGTGTAAGGATGGTCATTATTATAAAGGTTACCAATACGACAACATTAATCTCCCTTTGTTGAACGACTGCACATACAAATGTCGAGATAACTGTGTACGATGTGCGTCCTATGACCGATGCTCCTTTTGTAAAACTGGATTTTATGGACCAAACTGAGAAAAGTTGTTCGACTGGTAGTATGTCAAACCTTTGCGATAAACTAACTAGAAACTGTGCATGTCTCCCAAATTTTGCTGGTGTAAGATGTGACAAATGTCAATCTGGAAAATATGGAAACATGTGTGATAAACAATGTCCTGCAAGATGTAAAGGAAGCGTGTGTGAGAAAGATTCCGGAGATTGCACGGACGGGTGTACTAAAGACATGATCATTGGTGATAAATGTGACGATTGTTTAACAGGCTGGTATGGACTATACTGTAGCATGTCTTGTTCTGTTGACTGTAAAAATCAGCGATGCGAGAAAAGTAATGGTGAATGCTCATATGGATGTCTTGATAATTTTGTAGGAGGACAGTGCAATCAATGCATGTGTGGCAAGTGTAATCTTATTGTTTTCAGTGCGTTTGAGGGCTCACCCCTTTTTCAGAATTATATAGCTATGTATTACGTTAATGTCATATAACGTTGCCTCTGTAAAATTGCACTAATGATGGTTTAGTAGGATGGCCATGCTGCTGATTTTTAATGATGAGAATAATTATAGTTATTGTGGCAACAAGTAAAACGTGTTAATTTGTAGAATATAAGTAAGCAATGTTTGAAAACATTACATACCATAATAAATCTATACCATATACATATATACCATATACAAACTTTTAATTATGTCTTTTATTCTATTGTTATTCCTCAGAGAAGTCAGCTGTAATATTACTTTGAACAATTCTTGCTGTATCAGTACTTGTTAACACTATATTTGCGGTTACGTTGATTCCCAGGAAATATCGGAAAAATATATCCATCAGTAAAATATATGAAAAACTGAAAAACATGTGTGGTTCATAGTAACTGATAATAACATTACTGTATTGGAGAAGACGGGTATGTATAATATACCCACATATGTCTCGTAATTAACATCAATCTAATAACTAACTTCTGTGACTATTAACAACTTAAGAAATAAATGAACATGAAACACTCATTTTCTAACATCTTTTCTTCTTAATAACAAAGACACAATGGCTTTTCCCACCAAGAAATCACATCTTAAGATCAACCATCCGTGAACCAATCATGTGATTCCTTAGGACACTGATAACAGATCAATGTAAACATAAGATAAAATCAGTTAAAACCTACAGTAAGTTCCCTTGAAAAGGATCAGACAAGACGGACGGATTTGTCTCCCTTTTCAAAATTATGAAATTCAACAATAAGCAAGAGTTTTGTCCCTTACACCTTATCTTGAAAATAAGACCGAGTTACATGTTTTCATTAACTTAACCAGTATAATGATCTTTATGGAATGAGTCCAAAATGTTTTTCATTTGCATTGAAGAGCCAATGGTAGAAGCAAAACAACGGGACCTGCTTATGAAAACTCTGGTAAATATATATTTCATTTCTTTCTGAAATGTTTTTTTCATCATGCATTTTATATTATTTTTACTATCTTATTGAATTCTGTCAGTTCTTAAGCAAATGAATCCCGAACAAGATCATATCATGTTCTATCACCTGGTGTTAAAATTTATTGGCTATTGTTTTAAAATAAGATATTCTTAACTAAGGGTTAATCATTAAGATAACATCAAATTGTTAATGAAGTTATTGAATACAGATAATATGTGTAATCTCGTTTTTATTTTTGTTGGGATTTTTTTGCCCTATACAGAGTGCGCATGAGCGAAATGATACTTACTTTCTGTAAATATATATGGTATTTTAAAAAAGGTTATAGAAAAAAAAGTGAAAGAATTATTCAAATCGTTTCAGGCATCGAACTTGAATTTGAAAATGCTGGCAATGTCAGCAATTGTAGAATTGTTCAAGGCATTTACTTTTTTCTAGACTTCTAATTGACTTCTTCATATCTTCATTTGCATTTATATATATGATTAACAACAATTTCTTTCACAAAACAAAACGTTAAATAACATACCTTGAATTTTTTTTAAGGGTTGATTTCTTTAGAATAATACGGGGCATTAAATCTTATTTCATTTGAAAATATTAAGGAAAATAAAATTCATGTCGTTGTATTATCATTTTATTTGTTTGTTTATAGTTTTGTTGTTGTTTATTTTGCATAACTGATTGTTATGTCATCAATTAAGACTTTTAAATGTCTTTTCTGTAGCAGTTGCATTGCATTAAAGTTAAAATGTTTTTGTTTTTTGTTTTGTTGTTGTTGTTTTTGTGGATTTTTTTTTGTTTTTTTTCGAGGGGGTGCAGGTCTATAAATCATACACGCGAGATATAACTTCATGCAATGCAAGTTTTGTTGTTGTTGTTGTTGTTGTTGTTGTTGTATAGATAATAAGTAGCATGTATTAAAGCGGGACCGATTTTTTCCATTTTAATACCCGTTTTGTAGTTATTAACTCTGAAATTTTGCTTTGAGGTATTATAATGATAACATTATATAGAAAAGTTTATTTTTCAGCATCAAACAGCGACACTAGAAGATCTAAGAACAGTTTAAGGTATTTGTGAATTAATTTTCCGTAATGTTCATCGTAATGTAAATAGCTAAGTTATTTAGTGTCAGAATATACTGTTTATATAGATTTTTACTCTACATTTCAACTGGTTTCATAAAATGATTTTTGAAATATTTTCATTGCCTTTTTGTTTATTGTGTTTACAGTATCTGAGCATGAATATTGTCAAATTTGTCCAGCCAATGTGATGTAATTATGGTAATCAGCATTAGCGAGCTCAACAACAACAATTTTAAATACTTGCATTAAAAGTGTCACGTCAATAGAGTAACAATTTGAATAAAAAACAAAAGACTACATTGTAACAAAGAGAAACTAAGTGTGAATGCTGTATGCAGTTTCATCTTTTAGTGGTTTCACTTTTAAGTGTTAAGTATTGAATCTGTGTATGATATTTTGATGTGTTTAACACTTGTATAAAACACAATAAAATATTTAACTGTATGTTGATATTTCGATGTCCGCATCATTGAAGTTTTAACACTTACATATAACGGATATGCATACTTATATTTATAGAATGATATCTTATTGGTTTTGTTAAATCAAGTACTTACATATTTCAGGTTACGCACATTTTCTTTAAAGAGACTCAACTGAAGTTAATAAGGCTAAAAATATAAAATTTTATTTTTTCAAATAGTTCAACGTGTGCGCTAAAAACAGAAATATAAATAAAATATAACTAAGAAATATACAAGAAATACATTGAAAATCGTATGTTTGTGCTATTCTCAGTCCGATTTGAGTGAAAAGAGTTTAAACTCTTTTCACTTTTGAGTCATTTTTCACTATTATAATAATTATTCTGGAAAAACGGAGCAAGCTAATGATCTGAAATTTTGCACATAAGTTATTGGTATAGATCTTCATCAAATGGAGTAATAATTTCAAAAAAAAAATTCCAGTCCTGTCATTTCAAAAAAACTTAGTGGAGTCCCTTTAATGTCGACATTTTATGATAAAAGCGGTTTTTATGTAAGTTATCATAGTTATACTTACTTCATGTATTCCTTTTTAAATTTATAAATATTATTCCTTTTGACATTCTTCTTATAAAACGATGCTTGTCATTTTTTGTAATAACATCAAAATATTTATCCAGTTGAAGTGTTAATGTTTTTTTTTAAGTTCAACAAGAAGAGACAAATAAATGACTAAATATTTTTCGCAATTAAAGGTTTCAAACACTAAGGACACATAACAGAATATAAAATATGAGATGGAAAGAGTTAAGAACTTACAACAAGTCAAAATTGAAAAGTGCAGAGTCTTTTCAAGCTTAGTTTGATCAAGCGTGGTCAAAAACTGAATTGGTGCATCAATGCCCACTGTCATCATCAAATTAAAGCAGAGCAGATGAATTAATGTTACATTTGTAATATCTAAATATATGTTAACACGACTGTTATCATTTAATCTTCAATGTCATTATAACATTGATTTTTATGTATGATTTCTCAGTTCTTATGTCATAAGCTTGATGCCTTAAATTAATTTTTTAGGTAGACTAAGTCATGATGTTCAATTTTGTTAGTATTTTCATAGCAATGGTTTCCCGGTTTTATTACATAAATTCATTTTTATTTATAGGTATATATTCTAACATTCTGATGTTATTTCATCTGTTATAGTTCCATGTTGAAGCAAGCTGCTTTACTTTGCTTTATCCATTCCGTGATAAATGCTTTTTAGCAGGTCATATGCATCAAACAAATATAGTCTTCTGCTATAAATTTATAAGCTGTAATAACCTTGTACAATAGTCACACAGGCGGGATAGATAATTTGTTCACAACTTGTGTTTACATTCTATTGCAATATCTCATTGTTCTATGCAGTTGTCCACTAAAGTTTTTGTTTTATGACTATTTTAGTATCCTTCGCCTATTCCATAATCAGTCATGGACAAAAGTATCAAAATATATTATCTGAGAAGAGCGTTGAACACATCTTATATATTCTATACTAACTAACGTGTCGCATTTGCTCTAATTCGATATATTTTAACTATAATTTACCAGAGTTCTCAAATTTTTAAATGTTTGTTTGTACAGAGAAAGAAACATTAAACTGAACTTGCCCGATATTTCGTTCAATAATATTTACCCCACCGTCAACTTGCTTACCGAGTGAACTCCACATGCAATGAGTTTTTTTATTTGTTTCACTTAACGTCATTCCCTCTTTTCAATTACGCCCTAAAATTATCTCACTCTAAAGTATACTATGATAGAAAAAATATCAACATTTATTTAATATCTTTGGCTGAGCCTTTCCAGGGGATCACGACGATGTTGCTTCATATGACAAAAGTTAAGGGTAGTTTGAATAAGCGAATGTAAATATGTTAAAGAATTTAAACTAACCTCGAAAAAAAAATGTGCATGAAGCTTAGGTTTACGTAGAATTGTCTACATATACAGTTTAAACTATTACCTCTGATATATAAATTATGTTTTATTTTCATATGGTGTCTTTCCAGCTTTCTTTTTTGAGGAATACCTCAGGTGCTCCTCTGTGCAGTATTTCAGACACAAGCGTGCTTTTGATTACCGAAGTTCCGTTAGCTAGCGGGTTGGCTTCTTAATAATAAACAATCCAAAATTATTGGCAGGTTTCGAACTTTAAGCGGTGAGCGGACAAGTGTATCAATGTCAAACAATACCGACAACATCTTGTGATACCATGCGTACGACTCGGTATGTTTACCGAATATCCGAGTAAATGGCTTTTATGATTAATAGTAAGTTAAGCATAGAAACAATGTACTTCTTAAACATATCCATGTTTTTTTTACATCACTCATTGTAATGCATGTATGATTTTGTTTTATAAAAATAAATGTGTTTAAATTACGTGACTTTAATAACCTTACAAATGCATTTAAAACATGTTTCATAATTATGGTAAGTGTCGCGATGAAGTGACTGTTTGGGAGTTACCAAGATTTTGCTAGAGCGGTCATGAATATTTTATTATTAATACGCGACTTGTTTAATATTTTCCATTGACTCAGAGTCATACATATATTTAAAAGTATTGAACAAAAAATATTTTAGCAATTTTTCATAATGAGATAAAAAGAATTAAAATAATTCTTACTTTATTCATTTATTTAGAAAAAGTGTATTGATTTATCATACATATAAGGTATATATATTGATAAAAAATAAATGTTTAATTATACAATGAAAATACCAAATTGAATACAAAATTATAAACGAAATACAACCACGCAAGGTTAAGCCACGCAAGGTTGATAAGTTTTGTGCATCATTTAATTATTTACTATTGTATGCCAGCGTGAAATAGAGAAAAGAGATATAAGAATCATGGAAGGAAGCTCTATGTGACACGTCTGTGCCATACAATAATACCAAAGACATGCACACACAACAGCTCTTACAATTACGTAGTTTAAAACAGGACTATCAAAAACGAGGAAAATATATATTATATAAACTATTTGATACTTTTGAAATTTATAAACATTGTGCAAATACTTTCAAATTTGTATACAAAACTTATAATATTACGTTATGGATTTTAAGCTTAGTATGCTGCAGTTCGCTTGATAATATCTTGATGTATATTTTTTAGATTTATTAAAAATTAAGTTGTTCTGCCAATTCCATAATCAATTATTAAAACTATTACTTCGTTGTACCTTTTTTGATAACAATACAAGTATTTCTTTCATTCGCTCTAAACTGTGACGTATGATCAAATGATCAACACAAACAAATACTATTAGAAATTTATTATGTAATTTTATTTTCAAAATAAGAACAGAATTCTATATCTATGTCAACAACTCTTTTCACTGTAATAAGCATATTTCAAGAAGTACTTTTACTGATTTGTTATTACTTCAAAGAGATTTGAAAATTGAAAATAAACGGTATGGGTTCGTTATATACAGTAATAATAACATAGGCATTTTAAACAAAAGTCTCATCTCATCTTTACATTGGATTCTGTCTTCTATGACATATTTTATAAAGCTTTATCTGTAAAAAAACAAGAATGGTGTTCAATGAACTATTATAAAGGAATCAAGTAGTACGTATCCCTTATACATATCTACAACCATATATATCTGTTATTAGTTTAGTTTAGTTAGGTTCATACGAATTAATTTTGGTTCGATTGTGTTGGTAACTCTAAATGTATTTATTATCGGAATAATATCATTTTCTTTCAGAAGCTCCAATGACACTTATACTGAAATGCATTGCAACAATATTGCCAAATATGTACCATATTTAGGGAAACATTGTTATAAATAACCATTGACATCTAACCGCATGCCAGTGAGGGTTGAAATCCCGACAGGGACTTTGGATTCGTTTATGTAAGGAAGATATTTAACTACTCTACGATAGGTCGGTGTTGATGTGACGTAAAACGGAACCAAAAAAAAAGAAATATTTTTAATACTTTACGAATAAAATATTTGGACTAAATGGGTAGACAATCATAAAATGATATTAATTGTGCTGTTAATATACTGAATGTTGAATTAATGGTATTGGTAATTATGTTACAAATCGGTTGAAACACATACTATTCAAAGTTAAGATGTGTAAATAAAAATGGTTATTATGTACCAAAAGCAAAAACCTCGGTAAAACATAGTACTGATAAATTAATAACTGAGGAGGATTTAATTATTAGTGGAAGGCGAATCGCCCGAGAAACCATAGACACAAGTTAAATATTTGAAAATCGCAGACTCGGGTTTTATTAGATACAAGTTTGTTTCACGTGAAAGGTCACTATGAAGCTGTGGAAGAGTTTTCAATTCGAAAAGAATCATAAATAGACAGAATAGTTTGTTATCAGCTATTTCTACCAGTTTCCGGATAAGTCTAGTTAGGAATAAGTTTAAGAAGCAGTGCTCAAACTTGTGGTACAAGGTTCATGTAATAGTGTTTGGTGATATTGTAGCTATAGTATTTATTGTTACTATTTCTTTGAAATACGGCAAAGTAAACTGTTGTTCAGAAAAAATAATCATTTTATACAGTTTAAAGGATTTAAAACACACCATATAGTGTTAAATGTAACATAAACGATATTTTGGGATTTGTCTCTTTACAGATTTGTTCACCCCAATCTTAACTCATTGTGTTGGTAAAGCGGAGCATGCGCATGACAAAGTTTGAAGAGTAGTTCTAATGATTTTAGGCTTAACTATATGAGATTCATTAACTTCAATTTGATACGCAAAAGTGTATGCCGCCATGATGTGCGTTATGATGTATTTACTTCGTATCAAACGTTTATAAGCTTACTACAAAAC